AAGCCCATGTGCCTACTGGAACAAATGCAGTGTTGAGAGATCATGAGGAAGGAATGAATACAGCATACTCAGTGGACCCCCTGTGGAAAGTTTATAGTAGGACATGAATGAGAGTCACACAGGATGGATAGGAATGGATGGCTGGTAATCTTTGAGGGATTACCTGCATTGATGAAATCACAGACCAGCTGAAGTTCTTGGAATTTAGGAGAGCTTTCAGGAATGATAAAAATTACCTAGGTCTCTTGAAAAATCTTTCCAAGGGAAGTCTGAACTGGTACCTCCTGTTACATCTTGATACATTTCTCTACAGAAAGACATTAAAAAACCAATTCACTGACCTTACAATAATACTCCAAGTAGAAGGTTCACTAAATGATTGCTGTTGATGACTGTTACTTCTACTAACAAGCATTTTTAAAAATAAAAGTTGATCCAAAAATCAATTTCCTTTACCATCTGCTACTACTTCAGTTTACTTATAGCTACCCATGTTGGTTTGATCTTCTCTGAGCTGCAGTTTCTTCATTTGCTGAATGAAGGATTAGGTTTCATAACCAAAAAGACCTTTCCAGCTCTAATTCTATGATCCTAAGTTGCCATGATTACATATTCGAGGTGAGAGAGAAAGAATGAAAAATAATCCTAAAGTTACAAATAGGGAAAACTATGTGAATGGTGGTACAACAGAATAAAATAGTGGAGTCAGAACAAGGAATAGATTCAGGGGAGAAAATAATGAACTGTTTTGTTTCTGTTATATCTGGGACATTGGGAGGACATCCAGGTGGAAATGTCCTAAGGGCAGTAGGAGAAGTAGGGAAGTAGGTATAGATTAGAAGACTGGACAGACTAGAGAGCTACATATGGGTGTTATTTGCCTAAAGGTGGTGGTTAAAGCCAAAGGTGCAAATGACATTACCATGGCACCTCTAGAGTGTGAAGAAAAAAGAAGAGGGCCAAGAACAGAAGCTTTTGGAATGTCCACATTAAGGGGTTATATAGGAATAATAAACCAGCTAAAGAGACAAAGAGGGAGATCAGGGAGAGTGGTGTATCAGTAGAGTATGGTCTCTAAAACCGATAAAAAGAGAGTATCCAGTAATAGGGTATCAACAGTATAAAAGATTGGGGGAAAAAACCCAACCACAGGGCAGCTAGGTGGCGCAGTGGATAGAGCACTGGCCCTGAAGTCAGAAGGACCTAAGTTCAAATCTGGCCTCAGACCAAACACTTGACAGGTACTAGCTGTGTGACCCTGGGTAAGTCACTTAACCCCAGTTGCCTAAAAAAACAAAAAAAAAGAAAAAAAAAAGAAAAAACCCAACCACTTGGATTTGGTTATCAAGAGGCTTCTGGTGACCTTGGAAAAAGCAGTCAGTAAATATGCATTTTTTGAGTGCTAATTTTATGTGCCATGCTAAGGTGCTGGAGATGCAAAGTAAGGAAAAAAACAGAGTCCCTGACCTCAATGAGCTCATATTCTAATGAAGATTACAAGCAAATATCTACATAGAGGGAATTTCAGTAGTATTAAGATTGACTCCAAGGGGTCAAGGTGAGAGTGAATATTGAAGAAGTGGAGGCATCAGGTGTTGGCATCATATGGACAAATACAGAACTGAAGGTAGGATGGAAGAGAAATGCTAAGGACTGGCTTTTTTGGGGGGAGGGGAAGAGAAAACCTTAACATATTTGTTGGCTAGATGCAAAGGTGCCATGAAAAGGAAAGAATGACTGTTGGAACAAGGTCATGAGGGAATGGTATCAAAAGCTGAAGGATTAATTTTGGTGAATAGCTGGAACCTCTCTTCTATGATCTGTGGGAAGGAAAAGTTGGTGCTGACAAAGAGGGTTTACACAAAGGGAGCAGAAGCCGAGAACACACAATGGAAGTAGGAATCTTAAGTCATTTTGTTTAAGTGTGCATATGGGGAGTGGAATACTTTTTTTTTCTTTAGGCAATTGGGGTTAAGTGACTTGCCCAGGGTCACACAGCTAGTAAGTGTCAAGTGTTTGGTCTGAGGCCACATTTGAACTCAGGTCCTCCTGACTCCAGGGCCGGTGATCCATCCACTGTGCCGCCTAGCTGCCACGGGAGTGGAATACATTTGCAGTCACTAAGGAGTGAGATAAGGAACCCAAAGACAGATCGTGATTTCTGCCAGAATTAAGGATGAAGGGTTTGTGAACTGAGGTATGGGTGGCACTTAGGTAGGAAAGAATGAATGGAGAGTGGTAATGACCCAAAAATGGGAAAGGTTACGGTTCCCTGAATAATAGCTAGAAAAAAACATCTATAAAGAATTAGATTCTATTTTGTGAAATGGAATAAGCAAATGAGACCCTTTCAGATGACTATCAGAAGGCCACCTTTCCAACAAAGTAAGCTTTTGTAGTGTTAACAACAAGTTCCTCCTTTCTTCAATATGAAAGAAAATGACATTTAGTAGGCAGGTATGAGGAAGCTTCTTAGAGTTACTTAGCATCTGAATAGAATATAATTATACTTCCTAGTTGTTTTTGAACAAAAGAAATAGCATGAAATCAGATAGTGACAGATTTTTAAAATGGAACCTATTAAATGCATATTATCCTGAAAATGATTTCAATAACCAGATACAGCAGTCATATATGAATTTTTTCACTAACCGTCATAAAGAATATAAAGTACACAATTTTATCTATATGAAAATACATCATTCATGAGGACGAAAAGAAAAAAAACTTTTCTCATTTAACTTCACCAGAAGGTACTCCAAAACATGCTATCAAATATTATTTCTTGAACTAGAGTCAAGAGATGAAAGAGGCTTCTGTTACCAACTATATAGCTTTGGGCGAATCACTTTAAGCAATCAAGCACTTTATGAATGCTTAATTCATGCAAAGTACGGTGTTTGATGTGTTTGATGATCCCAAGATCAAGAAGTGTAAGATGTGGTCTCTGCCACATAAGAAGGAGCTTATAATCTATTCAGGAAGACAGAGCCTCTACATAAAAAGATAATTAACAATGTAAGTCGTGAGAAGTGCCAAGTTTGTAGTATAGACACTACGTGCTATAGGATTTCAGTGCAGAGGGAAATCCCAACTGGTTGGGCTGGTCAGGAAAGACTCTCAGAGATAGGCCTTGAACTTTACTATTGTCTTCCCCACCCTTTCATCCCCAAATCTCTCACTCATACTCTGCAACCCCCAATTCATACTATGTTATATGAAGCAGTACCGTATAGCAGAAAGGACTCTGAAGTAAATAACATAAGTTCTGGGGTTCAAAGTCCTAATTCTGCCACTAACTAGCTATGTGACTTTGGGCAAGTTATTTTACCTCTAAGGGCCTCAGTTTCCTCATCTATCAAATGAAGGAGTTGGACTAGATAATATTTCACATCCTTGCTAGGTCTATCATACTATGAATTATCACAAAGCCTACTTTGGTAAGGCTCAAAGGATGAGGTTTTTACCATACAAGCTGGCTGATTTTTTCAGTGACTTACATTGCCAATGGCAAAACACTTCATTAATTTTCTCAATTCTAAGACAAATGACGCTAAGTGGCTACAAACACACACTTGAAGGAAATGCATGCTGCCAAACCACATTCCATTAATATCTTTTTCCTTCTCCTATTTCATACTATTTGCCTTAATGTCAAGGAAGAAAAATCAATTACTATTATGACAGTTTGGAGGACAGTAAGTTAGGAAAATGACTTTATTATATGTTGCAGAGTCAATGATCTCATTAAGATCTTGGCCATATAGCTGACTGGCCGGCTTAGCAAGGGATATTCCCAAGCAAGAGTTAAATTCCAAAATGGCATGCTAAATGCCAATCCATTCTCTGTACCAGGAGTAGAGGGCATGGTTCATGGGTTGAGTGCCTAAACAGATGATCCTATTGGATAATGGTTTGGTTGTGATACCTTAGAATAATCTTCTACACCAGATATGGAGGGTCCTTAGGGTGGTGGAAATTGATAATCTGGGACTGGGGAGTAAGGTGGACTGGATTCTCCCCTCCCCCCCTCCATAATTTTGGTTATTTTCCATCACCTCCTATGCTACCTTTGGTGTGAGTGCCATACATACACATGAAAACAAAAGAAAATGGGTGGCAACTTCTCTAAATGAGATTCTTCACTTTCTTGCCAATACATGGCTCAAATCATGTCTAAATTTTTTTTTTTTGGGCGAGGCAATTGGGGTTAAGTGACTTGCCCAGGGTCACACAGCTAGTAAGTGTCAAGGGTTTGGTCTGAGGCCACATTTGAACTCAGGTCATCCTGACTCCAGGGCTGGTGCTTTATCCACTGCGCCACCTAGGTGCTTTCTAAATTTTGTAAGGAAGGATTTCACAAAACAGCTTATTTAAATGGAAGCAAGACAGTAAAAAGAATAGTGCATCTGGAGTCACAAGGCTTGAGTTCAAATCTCAGCTGTACAACTTTGGGCAAGATACTTGACCTCTCTGGGTCTCGGTTGTCTCACTTGTGAAGTGAAGGGGTTGAATTACTTGGTCTCTTCAGTCCTATGCAGTTTTAAATAAATTAAGATTTTTAAAAAGTACACACAGATGAGATACTATTTTTATAACATGCAAACCAGATTTGGCAAAGAGCAGATTTTCAACAGTACTGGAACTGAAACAATGTTAAGCAACTAAAAAAGGGCAACATTTAAAGACTAAAACTGAAATAGATCTAAGTCTGCTTTGCGGCTTCTCCCTACAGTGGAAATTTACACTCTTTAGCTAAAAGAGAAGGCCTCATCTGTGCTTTCCTTCCCCACTCTCTTATGGAAAGAACTATGCGTTTCTAGGAAAATGCTTAGGAATGTGTGTAACTAGCACCATCCCTAAATACGGCTACAAACTTTGAGGGGATGGTCACGTATTCAGCGTCGCTCTGATGTGGAAAAAAGTCCATTTGTTATTTTTTTTCTATTTAGAATTAAATGCTAAGAATAAAGGAAATGTAAAAATATTTTAATACTTACTGGCATGGTTTTGTCTCCAAAGAAATAGATTGTCTTATAACCATCATTTTCAACAAATGTCAGACAGTACCTTTTATCCCATCCATTAGGAAATATATCAAAGCTTATTTGACCTCCTTCACAAAAGACAAAAAGGTGGAAAAAGAGTCATTGACAGTAATCTTTAAACAACAGATAATTTACTATTCAAGAGCACTTAGAAGTGCCAGATTTGATTTTCCAGTAGTCTACTTTGCCACTTTTACTCTGATGACTGTGATTTAATATTTTGATTTAAAATCTCAATTTTCACAAATCTGTCACTTGCCTGGCATTTATTTGGGTCTCAATGAGGTAGGGTCAACTCAGGAAATGAAATGTATTTGTATTTAAAAGCTGTCAAGGAAGTCGACAGCAAATGAAGTATATTTATAATAAATGTGATAACAATGACACTGAACTGAGCATACCCTGAGGTTTACACACTTCAAGTTGCCAATGGCTTTCAGGGAGGTTTTATATCCAGCTTAAATTGTCATAGAAATGAAAATGAGCTAAACCAGTAACTATATGTTACTGGTTTAAAACCAAAAGTTACTGATTTAAAAATCATAATTTTTTAAAATCAGGAGACACAAAAATATATCATAAAAATGTTAATCTTACTGGTGTAAGAATACTTAAGCACCAATCTATTCAATTGTGATCCCTATTTCTAGCACTGTTAACCTGGAATACTAAAGGGAGTGAGATATAAGTAATGACTAGTCACCATGACAGGAGAAAATAGCATATTTAAAGAAGCTGGCAGTTTTATTCCATTTAAAACCAAGTGTTTTTTCTGACTTGCTCCAATCTTTCTTTTAGGATTCAATCAGGTTCTGGTATTTTGACCAAAGATAGGGTAGCAAACCAGTACTCATGAGCTTTGCTCAAAGCAACCCCATAAACGAGAACTTTGGCTTCCTGCTTCTCTGGGGGAAGGAACAAAGGAGTGCAGAGGACTTGGGTGGAAAAAAGGTAGTTTGGACTAGTGATGTAGGTCAGAAGTTGAATCTGGGAAGAAATGGAAGAAAATTTGAAGAAGAATTTCCAAACCCAGATTCTGCTCCAGATTCAACTTCTTAAGTTGTAAGAAAGCAAGATCAAGGATAATTAAGGAAAATATACAAGGATTCAGGAGGCTAACAGGAGAATTAGGTAGTGGAATGTGAAGGGGTAGACTCAAAAAGATTTAGAAGGTAATTGGCAAAACAAGGCAAGCCAAGGAGAGGATAAAAAGGCAAATGGAATAAAAAGAAGATTAAGTAAATCAGCACAGTGGATTGGAGATAGAATAAATGAGCACTAAAAGGTTTTAACCAGGTGCTTAGGGTAGAGATATTCACCAAGTAGTTTCAAGACAACCATTACAGAGAGTTGGAGAAATCATGCAGTGACTTGCACTGAGTGTTCAACTTTTATGTTTCTGCCACGATAGAGTGACTTATCTGTGTTCCTAGTGTAGGCTGACTTCCCTCCTGGAGAAGGTGAGAGGGCTGGGAGAATACCTCTCCACACTCCAGGTTGTTAGGGAGGATAAAGCATTCTTAAAGGAGACAGAAGGGTTCAATGGAAATAAAAAAGTTCTGATGTGGAGGGCTTGGGGGGATGACCTTTGTCAGGATGATGGAGAATGGAAGAGAGTTACACAGAAGAGAAAGGGAAGGAAAGGGGCACTGTATAACTAGACCTTAAAAATAGATTTAAAAACAGCTCTTTTTAAAGAGGAATGAACTAGATGCTCTGAGGTAGAAAGAAGCTGCTTTCCTGTAAGTATGACAGAGCAGTCACAGAATCTATCAAGTGAGAGATCATTCAATAAGAGACAGAGGAAGAAAAGAAGAGGAGTAGTAGTAGTTGGTGATTTCCTGTTCAGGGGTACTGAGCTCTTATTTGTTGACCTGAAAACAATCAAGAGGCCTATTGTTTTCCTGGGCATTAATCTAAGACATAAGACTTACCAAAAACAGATGATTACTATCCATTCTAGTGATTCACATGGGCACAGATGACACGTCCAGAAGGAAACTAAAAAGTATTACTAACAATTATGAGGTGTTGGGCAAGAAACTGAAGACCCCAAGAGCACACAGGTTGTATTCTCCTCATTTTTGCTATTAAAGAAAAGGGGTGCAGAAAAGAACAATCAATTTGAGAAGTGAATAGCTTGGTAAAAAGGTGATGTCTGAGGATGGGATTTAGATTTCTAGGTCAAGGAGCACAATATAAGGCCCTGACCAGAGATGGAGCATACTGAACAGAGGCTGAAAAGAATGCATTTGCTAGGTATCTTGAAAATCTACATGGAGTAGCAACAAAGAGAAAAATAGCACCTGAGCTACTCACAAATTCATAGGAAACAAAATCCAAGAAAAGAGTCATTGGAGAAACCCATGGCTTCAAGCATCTACACACGAAAGTCCTAAGTTTAGACAACAAACGGAGAGGAAGAAGTCCTAATGCCCTAGGATGTCCTTAATGACTTAATAAGCATCACTGAGGCCTGAGGCTTGGTGGGATGATAGCCATAACAGGATTATGGCTCGGGATGGGTATATTTTATTTAAAAACACACCCACACACCCCACATAGGTAAAAGGTATGCAGGGTTGTGTGTATAGAAAATAGCATAATGAAGGTCTCTTCCTGTGAGGAAATCTAGCAACCAGAGGACATGACAGAGAGTTTTTGGGTGAAAGTCAAAGGAAGGAAAAAGTGAAGTGATTTTGTCATTGGTGTATACTACTGATTACCAGAACAGAAAAAAAGGAAATAGATGAGGAGTTTAAAATGGAGACTACACCTTTCCAGCAAGGGCCTGGGGTTAGACGGGGGAAGAAGGAAAGGGGCGGCAGAGGGCGGGGGTGGCTAGCTTCCAGAGCTTGTGCTCTACTAGCATAACCTCTGAGAATTTTGGAAGTTAGAGAGTCACTTCAGGATGAGGAATCAGAGTAAGGTTTTGAGCAAAGTTTCTGTAAAATGGGGATTACTAATTCTTGCCCTGCTGGAGAAGCAAGCTGGTATAAGTGGGAAAAGTACTAGAGGGAAAAGCACTTTGTCTCTGGAGCCAGCAGACCTCGGTTCAAATCCTATCTTTGCCACTTACTGATCTTGGGCTTTATTTACTTCTGAATTTCCTTCATCTGTAAAGTTGGACTAGATGGCCTCTAAAATCCTTTGCAATTCTAAATCTATGATTTTATATCGTATTTTTTTTTGGAGGAATAAGATAATGAATGACAGTGTTAAAAAACAAAGCAAACCACAAAACGTTACAGTATCCCTAGAAGGAAGGGCCTGAGTATAGTCTATCAAGAAAAGTCCAAAGAGATGCAGAGACAACCAGATGGGAACAAAAAAAGGGAACAAAAAAAAGGAAGTAGTCAGGGGCTTCTACTTTAAACTGATAAATACACATATACAAACAATTTTATATTTAATTCAAAGAAAGAGAAAGAGTGGCTTCTGCTTTTTTAATGAAAGACTCTCAAGTTAAAAGCACTCTACATCTCTGTGGCAGAAAAAATATAATTTTTGTTACCATTTGTGTCCAATCAGGTAATTGTCAATCTGATTCAAATTGCTCCAATCTTTGACACCTCATTCAATAAACTAGATCTATGAGTAGCTTTTTGAGGAATAACTGTGAAACATATAGGTCTGGTACAAAGGAATATAGTGATTGGGAACTTCAATTATCCAGATGTCTGCTAGAGCTTTAGCTCAGACAAAAAGCAGAATAAATATCTTCTTTATTGACCTTTGTGATAATTTCATCCTTCAAAAACAGTAGAGCACTCAACAAAGGGAAATTCCATTCTGGATCTGATTCTCATTAACAGTAAGGAACAACTGGCTGTTGGGATGTAAATGGTGGGAACCCTCAGGTAAGTGACCATTCTTTCCTAAAGATTATGATCAAGAAGAATAGTCTGACTTACACCCTAGATTTGGGGAAAGATGATTTCAAGGGATTCAGAGAAGAGATAGGCAGGATCTCATGGACTAAAATGCTTCAGGTAGTCAAGTATGAAATATATGAAACACTACAGGAAACAATTCAAATGAGGAGAAAAGAATGGGATTTCTCAAAAAAGACAGATGTGGATGGACAGTGAACTCATGAATCAACTCAGATTTAAAAAGAAATGTACAGAAGATGGAAGTGAGACCAAATAACAAGATGAATATAAGAGGGTAGGAATACTAAATGCCATAGGAATACTAAAGCTCAGAATGAGGTGAGGCTGGCAATGGAAGATAAGGACAACAAAAAAGGGATTACAGCTTTGGTTTAAGTGGATGGGATGATAATAATAGCTAACATCTATATATTGCTTTAAAGTTGCCAAGTGTTTTACATGTTATTTCATTTGATCCTCACAACAACCCTGTGAAGTTTGTACCATTATTATTCCCATTTTGCAGATGAGGAAACTAAGGCTAATAGAGAGGTTAAGAGACAGATTTGCCTAAGGTCACACAGCTAGTTAAGTGTCAGAGGCAAGATTCAAACTCTGGTCTTCCTGACTCCCAAATCCAGAATTTTCTATCCACTACAGCAGAGGTATTAAATACACAGGCTGCATGTGGCTCAAAACACCCTTGAATGTAGCCTAACCACTTTAAAATGTAATTGAGAAACATTTAACAAAATGGATCCTAATGTATGGCTTAGTGGCCCTGTTCCCATTTGAGCACTGCACTATACCCCCTAGTCACTCCAGATGACTAAAGAGACGGTAGGGGTGCTCAAATTTTATTTTGTTTCTGTTTTCTCTGCAAAGGAAAGCTAATTTTATACTGGAAATACCAGAATAAAAATAACTAACAGTGAACTTACCCTTGAGATAAGCAAGGAGACAGACAATGAGAGAGTATCTAGCTGCCCTTGACGAGTTCAGTTACCTGCTCCAGATTTGGGTCCAGAATTTACTGGGAAATGTGACTGCTCAGTCAATGTCAGTGGTGTTTTAAAGATCGTGGAAAATGGGAAAGGTACAAGATTGGAAGACAAATGTCAAGACTCTTCATAAAGGAAAGATGACTCCTCTTTGATTTCTCCTTTCAGTTGGAAATTTTTACATGCTAAAATCATCTTAACCCAAAGTTTAAAGTTTAACCCAATTCTGGCCTATCTCAAAGGTATAATTATCAGTAACATGACTTCCCTTCTTTATTTTCTCCCCTTTTCAAATCACTCAACACTTTCGGCAGTCATTGGATCATGGGTCTAGAGTTGGACTGTGCCTCAAAAGCAATTTATTTCAACTCTTCATTTGACAAATGACAAAACTGGAGTCAAGGAGGTTGAGTTGGCCAAGGTGACAGTGGTAGTAAGTATCACAAATGGGATGTGAACCTTTCTTCCTCAGGGTCCATCTGGCCATGTCCTTCCTTTAATTAAATTTCTTCAATGGCTCTCTACTGTCTACTGAGTAAAGTTCAAAATTCTTTTGCCTGGCACTCAAAGTCTTCTGTAATCTGGTGCCGACCTATTGTTACTTCCCTACACATATTCTACACTTTGGTCAAAATAGACTGCTTGCTGCTCCTCATGCAATCCTGCATTTCCCAGTTTCTGTCCTTTTGTTCACACTGTTACCTATCCCTGAGATTTTTATTTCCTAGATTTAGGAAAATGTGAGTTTCCTTACTTTGACCTGCTGAATTTTTACCTCTCCTGAATTTATACCTGTGGTATAAAAACAAAAAAAAAACAAAACAAAACAAAAAAAAAAAGAATTTCCTTTTCTCTGATAAATCCCAACTTAAATTTATCTCTTTCTGTAAGCCTTCCCTGACCTCTCCAGTGGGTAATGTTACCTCTCTCTCCTCATATTTCTATTCTGCACCTCTCTTATGGACTTATTTCAAAATTCTCAGTTCCTCTGGTACAGGTCCTTTTTCTCCCTGATAAGTCACTGCCCCATCCACGCCTCAGTACAGTTTTCTATGGTGTGACTGCCAAAAATATTTAGCACCTGGTGACGAACCTCTAGTGATGGTGTTTCTGAATTTGGCTAAGCTGTTTCTTGGACAATGCTCTAATGCCAGGCCCATGCTTATTTTCAGCCGAGCAGTATCCGCTAGAGTTTGCATTCTATGGATTTGAACCTAGGGTGGTAAATGTTCCTAGTTAACCTTTTTGGTATACAGAACTGTTTTGGCAGTCTGATAAAGCCTATGAATTTCTTCTCAAAATCATGTTTTCAAGTGCATAAAAAAACCCCATAGGATTGCAAAGGAAGCCAATTATACTGAAATACAGGATCCTATTACATATAATAAGACTTGTTTCAATACTTCAAGGATCTGTGACTTCATCTGTTTGAGTATTTCCTCTGATGTAGATTCCTCTACTACCTGATCTTTCAGGGATGCTTTGAATGAAAAATTCATCATCCTGTAGCCAACCTGGTGATAGGGCTTTCCAAACTCGCTAGGTCGGTCCTTGGATGATGGAACTGGGCCCATAATTAAAGTTGTTCTAACTTGGCAGCATCTGTCAGAGTTTGTGGTCAGCTGGCATTATCTTAAAGAGTCTACTTCAATGACATAATGAAGCAATGAAGCAGGATTCTGGTGAAGGCTCACGTGCTTTTATAATATGCTACAGTGTATTTCAGTTATCTGTGTATATGACATATCCTCCTACTAGATTGTAAACTTCCATTAGGTTTGGAATGGTGACTTGTACTTCAACTGGCATCTAGCCCACTGCTCTGTAAATAACTGGGGCTTAACAAACATTTACAGAATTCAACAAGATCTGGTAAAGGGTATCAACATCCCAAATAGGCTTTACAACAGGAAATACCTATAGAAAATGTAAGCCCCTTTCCTTCAAATGTTTTCTGCAGATCACTCACAAATTTCTGTCTTATATTTTCTTTCTATGGAGAAAAAACAAAGAGACATCAGTTACTAACCAAACTTGATTTTAGAAATGTAATTTTAAAAGAACAAATATTTTTCCTTATTTTATTCTTGGTAATGAAATAATGCATCTTAGTTCACTTTTGTAAATATAATAGTTGGCCAAGGACTTTTAGGAGAGACTTACTTTATCTAGTTCATAAAATTCAAGTCGTTCTTCCTGGCTACAGCTTCTTCCAATAGGAGACACATTTAACATCCCATTTCGGAATTCAATGAAAGTGCCCCTGAAGAGAGAGATAAGCTGGAGGAAAGATTCACTAAGAAATAACAATTTGAGTATTTTCCAATTGCATAAACAGAGGCTGAGATGTTGGGTAACTTGAAAAAAGTCAGAGTCTTCATGTTAGATGAAATGAGGATACATGTCTTTAAGACACAAATCAATGTCAAACAACTATAACGGAAGAACATTCAATTTTTTTTTTCTGCTTTTTGGTGAGGCAGTTGGGGTTAAGTGACTTGCCCAGGGTCACACAGATAGTGCAAGTGTCTGAGGCCAACTTTGAACTTAGTTCCTCCTGACTCCAAAGCTAGAGCTCTATCCACTGTGCCACCTAGCTGCCCCTCACACAACTGTCAATTAGAGATTTAAGTTCATGTACTATGTTTGCAAAACAGCAACACAGAACTTTCCTGAAAAGTGCTATGTAAACAGTAATACTACTGATATCACTACAAATAATAGTAATAAATATTCAAATAAAAGAACACATTAATACGCCTATACTGTGAAGCTTAGTTCCAGATGGCTACTTTGTGAGACAGACTTTAGATACACTGCTTTTACTAGAAATGCAGTGCAAAAACATTCTTAGCACTGTCCTCTAAGCTCTGGTGATAAATAAGAAAACCAAAAACACCCAGGGAGAGGTTAATCCTAAATTAAAGTTTTAAAGTTTTACAAAAATTCATTTCACAAACAGTAAATTCTTTATGATATCAGACTGAGTTTTCCAGGAAATATCCTGAATTTACCCTGAAACAAGGATAAGTAATTCCTCTGTATTTTTAAATTCCTTTTTGGAAAAAGTTTAGTTTCAGAATGATCAAAATATAGCTTCCTCCACAATCCAATAATGTACAAGCCAGATTTCTATTTCATGAAATGAATATGATGAAATGTGGTAATTCCCAACAGGAACGTCTTTTTATTTTTATCTTGGTCTAATTTGTAGTCTAACTAAACTAAACTTTTAAGTGTTGCCACCAGCCTCTTATAAGAACAGCTGAACCTTAACTAACCATATATCCCCTGACGAGAACTCTCAATTAAACAGATCTTTTTCTCCTCTGCACTTAAAAAATAAGCCTTATTCAAGACTTAGTGATAAAAACCAACTCCAGACATTTATACCTATAGTACTGTACAAGAAATAATGTTCATAATGATAATTATAAAGCCTTATAAGATCCTAAATTATCAAAGATTAAAAAATTTAAAAATAATTCAGGTACTGCATAGTTTACTTTCTAAGGCAGAAAGGAATGCTGATACATTTCAGAGAAGTTTTTAGCAAGGTTTTAAAAAGGATATCTGAATCTGTCAATTCAAACAGTCCATTTTCTGAACATTGTGATTTTTACCTATATAAGATTTTTATATAAAAAAATTTATATATGTATAGATTTTTTTTTATCTATAAGAATCATTTTGAGCATATCTTAACCTTTGTTTATAGAGGCCAGAAAAAGATGGATTCTCAATGTTGCTGCCTAGATCACTAAATTACTACTTTATTCTGTGATGAAAGGTGGTGTGGTGTGGCAAACAGAAAGCTGGTCTCAAAGTTATGAAGACTTGCTTCAAGTCCCATCTCTGACATACTAGCTATGTGACCCTGGGCAAGTCACTTAACCTCTCAGTGGTCTAGGCAACTTATTATTTTTTTTAAAGGCAATTGGGGTTAAGTGACTTGCCCAGGATCACACAGCTAGTAAGTGTCAAGTGTTTGATCTGAAGCTGGATTTGAACTCAGGTCCTCCTGACTTCTGGGCTGGTGCTCTATCCACTGCACCACCTAGCTGCCCCCTCTAGGCAACTTTCTAAGACAGGAACTTGCACAAAAAGTACCAACTTGCCTATATTAGTAGAGGAAGTTCTTTATAAAAAAAAAAATGCACAGGTCTAGGTCCAGTTCCTAACCCTTATCATTCTGGGATATATTTCATCTGAGAAGGCCTTTGTTCATTGACCAGAGTAATTTACAGGCTCCCCTTCTACCTTTTAATAGTCTGAATTTGTTCCAACAGTATAGTATGTCCTGAAACCCAAGTGGCAGTTTTCTGATTAAAATTAGTACTAAGTCCACTGATAATACCAGTGTCTAAGACATCAGATCTTTACGACAGATGGAGGATATGTATCTTGATTATGCTAATAAGGACATCTACCCACCTCTTTTTTGGCAGCTTAATCTTGGCAATGTAACTCAGACAATAGTTGATTAAATCTTGGATTAGGTCTTCACCCAGATGACCCTGAATATTCTAAACAAACAAAACACTTTTGAGTTACCAGATTAAGTATGATCCATTTCCCAAATGGCTTTCCAATCAACTAAAGTTGTTATATGATTATGAGGCAAATATGCACTAGATTAATACAAGTCATTACCTTCTTTATTTTTCCTTCCTTTAGTTTTCCCATGATTAAACAAAGTCGGGTTAATCAGAACAGTGAGTTCATTAATCAAATGTGTTGTCTGCTTCATTACTCTGGATTCTGTTTTCATGGGCTTGCAAATGCAAATAAAACCCAGAGACTTACAACTTCTAGATTGTTTTCAGTTAAAACTCCCAATGAATCAAAGATGAAGCAGGTTACAATACACACTGTTAAACAGATCCCTGAATCCAAGTACAACATACTTTTCCCAAAAACTGTCATTTTTAAAGATCTACTTGTTGCTGTAGGTATTTGTGCTAAGAAAGACTACAACACTAAAAACTCATTAGGATATGTCATTTAAAGTCAGTCCTTGTATTTCCTACCCTATTTCCAAAGCATGGCTATCATATCAAATTTCATTTTAGAAATTGTTACTGTAACAGTGTAAAAAATATTTTGGAGACTCTGAAACAGACCTACCTGCTTACACAGAAATTTGCCATCTTTGTATGCTACCAAACCATTTTCTGGAAAGACGTAATCATATTTTTCAAGCACTAAAAATAAAAATGAGTAGCAAATCATAATGCAACTTGTTTCTATTCAAGATTACTTTTTTTTAAATTACAAGTGATGTGATAAAGAGAACATCAGCCTAGGAATTAGGAGACTTGGCATGGAGTTTGGGTTCTGTCATCAGCTACATGAAGTTGGCAAGTCAGTTCATGTCTCTGCATCTGTTTCCTCATCTGTGATGAGGTTAGATTTGATGATGTTGGTAGCTTTAAAGTTCTGTGATTACATGGTAATCCATTCCCTAACAGTACAGGTTTTACCCTATTACATGACACCTGAACACAACATCCTACTGTGGTAAGTCCTATAAGATGCTAAGACTTTTTTTCTATAACTAGTCTGGGATAAGAGAGGGAGAAGGGAAGAATATCAATGACCAGACAATGGGACTGAATAAATTTACCCCATTCATTTTGTCATTTAAGAGATTTAAAGCATCTGAGAATACAATAAGAAACACTAGACAATGGGGAAAATAGTGATTTACAGGAGAGATATATTTGATCCTCAGCATCTGTAAACTGGAAAAAAAAATACAACTTGCACATTAAACTATAATTTGGAAAGTAAATGATTATATTTGAAAGCATGGTCTCTAATTCTAAGTAGGCTAGGGCCAACAGTAATTCAAATTATGCCCAATATGTTATTTTAAGGTGATTCTACTATTTGGGCACCAAATTTACTTACCTGCTGATAATTCCAGTTATTTATAAGATAGGCTGTTTGGTAAACAAGGAAACAGGAATCCACCATATGGGAGGTCCAGGCTTACAGCTGCATATGACTTAATATTTCTTAACGTCATAACTTTCTGAAAAGAAGTTAGTATTTTACTAGGACAGTAATCACTTTTTACCATTGTCTCCCAGCTGCTCCTGTACTTTCTCAAAGTCTGAGCCTCCAACTACTCCAATTTTTATCTTCTGCCTCAGTTTTTGCAGAAAGTCATCCATTTCTTTGGTGATTTTCTGTATATTAAAAGAGACAAACCAATTAAACACAATATGGCCATAAAATTAAAATGACAGAATTTATAACTATGTCTTTTTAGGCCCAGATGACTTTCTTGTGGATTGGTAAAATCAGAGCATTTAGGATTAACTTTGGTGGCAAGCCTGGATCAAGTGATCTAACAGTGCCATAAAGGAGGAAAGTTTACAATTGCAATGGTGAAAGGGTTTCCTTCCTGTTTGATGGGCTCAAGTCAAATATTTTCATTTCAATTTTAAGTACTTCAATGTTTCTTACAGTTCACCAGCTCCAACAGTCAAATCAAATTACCTAAAACCCTAAACTAAAACAAAATAATAACAAAGAAAAATTTGCTCATATACACATTAATGTGCAACAAAATGACTTTAGAACAAGTATATTGCCTTTTATCAATAATATTTATAACATACATGTCACACTTTCAAAAACTTAAGCATAAAATTCAAATCTAATATATATAATCTGGAGTTTAAAAATGTAAACAGCGCTATGTATATGTATCTTAAAATTCAAAATGGTATGAACTATGTATATAGTACTTATCTAAAATCAAGTAAAAGCTATGAAAGAAAATGCCTCAAGTAGTTTATTATGCTTTAGCTAGATTAGAAAGAAGCAAAAAGTTAACTCTAGTTGCAAAATATCAGAAATTCAACATATTTCCTTCTTCAAACAGAATCTTATGCATAATTGATCACATCTTAATCTCACAGCAAAATGATGAGCTAAATCACCAAGATACATGTAAAGTAATTGGGTGGTGGAAGACAAATAGTTTATTGATCAGGCTAAAAAGCAACATCCAGCTATGTACAACCACAATCCCCAGATAAAATCTTAGCTACCATAGAAAGGTTTTTGTATAAGTAATCACTTCCATGTTCTTTTTTTTTTTGTTTTTTGTTTTTTTGCTTTTTGGTGAGGCAATCAAGGTTAAGTGACTTGCCCAGGGTCACACAGCTAGTAAGTGTCAAGTATTTGATCTGAGGCCAGATTTGATCTCAGGTCCTCCTGACTCCAAGGCCAGAGCTCTATCCACTGTGCCACCCAGCTGCCCCCATGTTCTAAAATAACATCGATTTATGTAGAGATGTAGCATGTTATAACAGAAAGAATGCTGGACTTGGAGTCAAGAGACCTTGGTTTGAATTCCTGCTCTAACTCATCTCCTGTAAATTGTGTGACCATAGACAACTCATCTAATCCATCTGGGCCTCCATTTCCCTGTGTGTAAAATAGGGATGATATTTGCTTTTACTATTTTACAGGGATAGTGTGAAGGAAGTGTTTTGTAAAGTTTAAAGCACTAAATGTAAATTATTATTACTGATGATTACAAGGAATTCTCACTGTGAATGTAAAACAATACTTTCAAAAATCCTTGTATCATTTTTGGATACATTTTATGCTGGCACAGGACACTAACCAACTAGTTTCTAAACAAATTCTCCACAAGGTATAGGTTCAGAAAATAATCGAGCAAAACTGCTTAAAAGTATGATTATAGCTTTGAGTAGGTTACTTTCTCCTTTTCTAATTTACCAATAATCATGTTATATTGAAAGTAAAGTAATACTTCTACTAACAAAAGATATATTCCAGTAACATTCTTCACATACTATAGCTGGACAGGACCTCAGAATCAGTTGGCCCAACACCTTTCTTTTATAGACTGAGAAAACCAGAGAGGTGAAGCGATTTGCTTAAAGCCATACAGCAAATCAGCGACAGTGTCAGTGATGATGAGAAGAGAGCCAACGCAGTGTCCCCTGATCTCCTGACACTCCAAGTGTTCCTTTCATGATCAATCCTCTATTTTGCCAGGAACTTCATCCCTATAGATAGGAATTATATAGGAAGTATAGGTTATGTTTAGGATATCAAATGTGGTAAAATTATATCACTGGAAGAAAATATGCATGGGAAATCTTGGGGCAGAAGGGATAATGGACAAAAATAAGGAAAAAGGTGTAGGAAAACACTGTATTCAGGCAAAGAAAGGGACTGGAGGCATAACAAGGTCTGAAGAGAGAATGATTTTCTGAAACAATGCTATGACCAGAGAAGATTCCTGATCCTATGTGACAAAGGACACTGGCTCCCCTACCAATGAGCAGCAACTAGAAATAAATAGCCTTCTAGGAGCAGCTTCAGCTGAAGTCCTGGTTTCTTTTTCCCAGAGGAACAGGAGGCCATCTGTTGGTGAGAAATAAGAACCAGTTTTCTCCAAATTTCCTTACCTTTTAAGAGTCAAAGAGCATTGCTGGAAGGGATCTTAGACATTATTTGTCCAATATTTGTTCAAACCTTTGAATCCACAGTTAACCGACAAAAGACTTACAATGAAAATGGTGTTTTAAGTAGCAAATTCAAGCACTAAAAATATTAGTGAAAGAATCACAATATTACAACTGGAATAGAGCTCAGAAATCCTCTTGTTCTAACCTCTTCCTTTTACAGATGAGAAAACCGGTGAAGACTTGACAAAGAATTGAGAAAATGAACCTCTCTCCCTTCTTTGCAGGGATGGAGGGCTATGGATGTGGAATAATTCATACCCAGACTCAGCTGATATGTTGGTTGATTTTAATGAACTGTTTTTTTCCCTTTTTCATCTTTCTTTTTCATTCTTTGTTACAAAGGATGGCTTGCTGGGTGGTATAAAAATGAAAGATATCAATGAAAAAAACATTTAAAAGAAAATAAATGGACTGGAGCTTAGGAATCATTTTATTAAATGGAGATTTGTAGCAATTGTATTTTCTGACTTTCAGCAAAGAGGATATAAAGATTATTCTATTAAAAATACTTTAGCTAATATAATAAGGGTTGAGGGTCAGCCTAGTAGAGTGGATAGAGTTTTGAACTTGGGATCAGAAGACCTGGGTTTGATTTGTGGCTCTGACACTTATTAGCTTTTAACTGATGTAAGCCACTCAACCTCTGATTCTTTTTCCTCATCTGTAAAATGAGGATTCATTTCACCCTGGAAGCACTTATTAAACACCTACTATGCTCCAAGTGGAGAAAGTTATGTCACAGTGAACAAAGAGTTGCCTTGGAATCAGAAGACATGGGTTCAAGCACCACTTCTGACATTTGGCTGTGTGATTGTAGGCAAGTCTCTTAACCTCTCAGTGCCTTATAAATGACAGAATAGTTGCCCATTTACATTAGCATACCTTTACTAGCAGTTTCCTATATTAATTAAATAAGTCCCTACCAAGAAAAAAAACCAAAACAAAAACCCAAAACTCCTGCTAGGTGCTGGGGATACAAAGACAAAAATGAAACAATCTCTGTCTTCAAGGAACGTATATTATTAAATAATAAAGTTAATTCTCCCTAACTCATGGGGTAGTTGTAAGGGGGGGGAATGTCTATTATTGATTATTATAATTCATATAATCAACAATAAGTATTTCTTTTAATAATATATTTTGCTTCAAATTCAATTTTCCAAGTTCCCTCTCTCACACTGTCCTCCAGGAAGCCACTTCCAAATAATTGGAAATAAAGTACAAAGTCTTTTTTTCCCACCTTAACCACGGTAACATGCAAATTTCACCTCCCTCCCCACCATGAGGAAAATATTTGAAGTACAAAGGATGTAGTCTACTCAAGTAACTATAACTTCCTGGAGTCCAAATGTATCTTACATTTCTTTTGCATTTCAGGCCTCCCCACATTAGTATAATATAGTACTCTTCAGTATGTGCAATAGAAGGCACTCATTAAATGTTTCCCTAATGTAATAGTATCCATGGATCATGAGACCTAGGGTCTTGTTTCAGTTAGATCTGCCATTAACAGAATGACCTTGGAGAAGTCACCTAGTCATTCTGTTGGTTTTCTTACCCAAATAAAGTGAAGAATATCTGTCCTAGAAACCTGAATGAGGGAAAGTAAATGAGTAGCAGTTGTAGGGTTCAAATGCGCACAGACTTATGTCCTGTCCAATGTAGTCCTAGTTTACAATGTACCACATTATCTCTTGAGGAAAGTTTGGAGCTCTGGATAACGCTATCAAATGTAAATATTTACTAATCCCACTATTCCCTGATTGCCCTGCCTTCAATTTTCAATTCTTTAATGAGTTTACTACTCCCTTGACCAAGGCAGACTTCAAGGAACCCTCTCTAACTTGTTGTGAAGATGAGTTTGTCTTGTTTTTCAAGGTCGTCTTCAAGAGTTGTTTTGGCTGACATAAATGATTTGTCTTTGATGTGGGCCAAGAGAAGAACAAACTCTTAAAGCACCTGATAAGGAGCTTATATTCAGTTAGCACAGCCTCTGAGTACCCAGTGTCACCTCTACGCTACAATGAGAGCTCAGAGGATTTTAGAGAAATAACTGCTCCGTCTGTCCCTTACAAACTGCCAGGAGGCCATTGTGCCAGGGCATTTCCAACTGGTTGTTTACTGACTTCCAAGGCAGTCTTCAAGAGTTCAATACTTGACTTAGTCTTCCTCTCCACTCCAACTTCTGCCCTTATATTTGAGGGCTTCAGTTTACCTATTGATTAAGTCTCAAATGCCCCTAATCTCATTATCACCCACCTTCACAATCTATAACTCTCAGATTGCTCTGACCACAATCTCCTATGAATCTTCCTTCCCTCTTCTTTACCCCTTCTAAACCTCTTAACTTTATTGCAGCTCAATCCTTTCTAAACCCCAACCCTGAATTACTTCCACTCCTCTTATCCAAGTACTACAAGGAATTTACAACCTTGATGACTGGGTCTACTACAATCTGATGTTAGCGAATCTAAACTGAGATATCTCAGCCATATACCAATTCTTTTACTCTTCCCTGTCTGACAGGCTTTCAACCCTCCTCACACGGTCCCCATTCCCATATCCAATCAATTTGTCAATCCTTTTTGTTTCCAGCTTCTAAGCCTCCGGTTCCCATCTTCTCTCTCTTAAAACAGACCATAACAATTCAGGCTATCATCTGTCACCAGGCTAATTGCAATCACTTCCTAGTTGGTCCCACTGCATTTAAACTTTCCACATTCTACTACATCCACTCCATCCTGCACACAGATGCCAAACTAATCCACATGCCTGACCACATCACCATCTGTATTCAAGAAGCTTCAAGGGCTCTCCACTACCCCTGGTGGTGGTGGGGGGAACCTCTGTAGCACTTGAAGACTTTGACAATCTGGTTCCCTGAACAAGACATTCTATCTTCCAACTTTATTGCCCCTGCACAGACTGTCTCCCATGTCTACAATGCTCTATCTCTTACTTCTGCCTCTTGGAAGCCCAGCTCCCTTCAAGTATCTACTCAAGTGTTACCTCCCACAAGAGACATTTCCTGATTTCCCTAATTATTAGTGCTCCACATTCTGCACCCTCTCCCCCACTAAATTATTCTGTATGTTTTATATTTATCTGTATATATGCTGCTTCCCCAAGTAAAATGCATGAACCTTACGGGCAGGGATGATCTTTTTTTTTTTTTTTTTTTTGCTTTTTGGTGAGGCAGTTGAGGTTAAGTGACTTGCCCAAGGTCACATAGTAAGTGTCAAGTGTCTGAGGCCTGAGAGCTCTATCCACTGCACCACCTAGCTGCCCCCTTTCTTTTCTTGATCTTTGTTTCCCAAGGATTTAATCAGTGCTTGCTGAATTGAACCAAACTGAACTGACCCCACCTCACCTCACCTCCACACTAACCTGTACTTTCCAATATTGGTTATTTTGCTTGCTTCTATTCAGAAGTTTTTGCCTTGTTTGTTCAGACTCCATGTCTGGAAGAGATTCCCTTAACACTTGAACTCCATTTTTGGAAGAACTTAAGGAGAACTCAGATATTCTCTATGACACTTTGGTTGACTATCCCTCCAGATGAAAGTAACTTTCTTCTCAATTAAATTTTTTTGTGTCTATATTTCTCCTTTTGCACTTAATCACATTTTTCCTTATAGCATGGTCTTATCTTGTCCTATTAAATTATAAGTGCTGCACATTGGCCTTCAGGAATTATGATTCTTCATCAAGCTAGATGCCTGAGTTCAAATCCTGAATTAAGCACTTATTAGCTATGTGAAATCCTTGGCAAGTCACTTAATCTCTCTAAGCCTCAGTGTTCTCCTTTGTAAAGTGAAGATAATCATAGCACCTACCGAACAGGATTGTTTCAAGACTCAAATGAAAAATAACTAACACATGTAAAGCACTTAGCAAACCTTAAGGCACTATATAAACGCTAGCGATTATTACCATTGCATCCCCAAGTACCTAGTAAGCACTTAATAAATCTCTGCTGAGTTGCAGAACTAAATTTCTTTGACTCCAACAAAACTTAAGCTCCCAAAGGGCAAGGATCCCACTTCCTTCCCATCCCCGCCCTCACCCTAAGAGCCCCATAATGAAAGACTGTGCTCACAGAGCCACCACCCAGACCGGGTCAGACCCCGTCCCGAAAGGGTGCGTGCCTGGGGACACTTTTTGTTGGGGGAGGGGGAGGGAAATCGAGGAAAAGAAGGCTATACTTTTTTATTCGGGGTGGGGGGACAGGACACGGGAAGACTTGCTGTCCAAAGCTGGGTGGGATCACTCTTGGATTGGGGCTCAGGGTTCGAATTCTGACCCTGCTGCTTATTAGCTACGTGACGTTGGGCAAGTCCTCTTTGGGCCTCAGTTTCTTCATCTGTAAAACGAGGGGACTGGTTGGTCCAGATCACAGGTGCTCTTTACGGCTGTTTCTGGTTCCACGTCCTAGGACCTCTTACTCTCCAAGGGCTGTGGAAGGTCACCAGGCCCCTCCCGCTCCTTGCCCCGGGGTAACAAGCCCCACCGGGATTTCTACCTCTCCCTTCCCCGCTCCCGCACCCTGGGGAAACTGAGGCTCTGCAAGCGGGCGGCAGCGTGGTGCGGTCTCAGGGTCTGCTTGCCTGTCGCGGGGGGGTGAGGGTCCCGTCGACGTCGAAGAGGCAGAGAACAGGAGCCGGAGCCGCCATCGTAACACCTCAGGCCACAAGCTCGACGAGACGCGCTGGCACTGGAAGCTTCCCGGATTTGCCTCACAAGCCGCGGGGCACGCCGGGAAGGTGAAAGACGAGTGACTGCCAAGTCTACAGCCCTAAACCCCTTCTAGATCCCACAATGAATCACGAAACTACAACTCCCAGAATGCAACACCCCAAAACACGCCCCACATTCCCTAACCTATGACCTCTAGGGGTCAGGACACGTATACTCCAGAACGCCAAGTAGTTCCGGAGGACGGGTCAAGTTCGCTTCCGGAAGCGGGTGGCGGTACCATGGTGAGCGCCTGGGTTTCCTCGTGTAGGGCAGTGGGAGCTGCCGGGGTGCCGGAGATGGGCTTCCGGGTAGATCCGTTAGCTGGGGGTCCAAACCTGGCTTTTTCATCAGCGATAGGCGAGAAGAAACTTCTCTCCCGTCTTGGGGCGAGGGGGGAAGCTTATTTGGGGTCCTTCGGGCCTTAGGCACCTTGTCACCTCGTGAGGTCGTGATGTATATTCAATTGAGTAAATTCAATAAACATTTATTAAGCTCCTACTTTGTGCCAGGTAGTGTTGTGCTAAGCGCCGGGGATACAAAAAGAGGCCAAAAACGGTTCTCATCCTCAAGGAGCTCACGGTCTAATGGGAGAAACAACATACAAACAAATATGTGCAAAGCAACATAGCACAGGATAAATAGGAAATAATTAAAAGAGGGAAAGCGCTGGAATTCAGAGGGGTTAGGGAAGGCTTCCTGCAGTGCCAGGCCTCCGAGCCGGGCTATGGGCCCCTTCCTCCACTCACTTTGCTATTCGAAGTCATTAGACAGTGAGACCCCTGCCCCCTTTTTAATCCCATACTGGGACATCATGACCCTGGGGTCCCGCAGTCCCCCATGATTCTTCGTGCTGCTGATCCACCCTGAAGGCTACAGCCCTAGATGTCCCTTCCCTGGGTTTACCTCCTGCCCTCCCCCCTTCCCTTCAAACCCCCCTACCCCACCAGAATACCATTTCAGCCCCCTGTTAAACCATCTTGGTTCCTTTCTCCAGCAAACTCTATCCTGCCTTTTCTGGATTTATGACATTGCTGCCCTTCATGCACTCTACGTTTGCAGCCAAACTGGCCTTCATGCTATTCCTGGAACGATGAACCTCTGCATAGGCTACCCTCTCTTCACCCCATACCTGATACACACTCTTCATTCCTCATCTCTCCCTCTCTTAGAATCCTTAGCATCCTTCATGGATCATTTCAGATGTCATCTTCTAAGGGAAGCCTTTCCTGATTAGAATAATTCCTTCCACCCCACTTAATTAATGTCTTCTACATCAGATCAGTCAGCAAGCATTTATTGCTTTGCACTAGATAAAGAAAGCCCCCCCCCCCAAAAAAAATAATCCGTGCTCTCAAGGAGTGCATGGTCTAATAGGGGAGACAAGATGCATGCAACTGTGTCTAAACAAGTTATACACGAATAAGTTGGAAATAATCAACAGAGGAAAAGCACTAGAATTAAGGACTGGGAAAAGCTTCCTGTAAAAGGGGGGATTTTAGCTAGTACTTAAAGGAAGCCAAGCAGTCCAGGAGACATGGACAAGGAAGGAAGAAATTTCTAGTGTTTCCTTTGAGGAAAGCATGGAGAGTAGTGTCACTGGATCACAGAGTAGCAGGAAGTCAAGTTTTGAAGTGATGAGGTTAGACTTGGGCTTTAAAAAGATCATTTTGATGCATGAGTAGAGGATGGACTGGAGTGGGGAAAGACTTGAGGAGGGAGACCAACTAGCAGGCTATGGCAGTAGTTTCAGTATGATGTGATAAGAACCTTCAGCAGAGTGTTGACCTTGTTAGAGGAGATAATGGGGCAAATGTGAGAGTTGTTGGCAAGGTAGAATCAACAGGACTTGACAACTTATTGGATATGGGAGGTAAGAGTGAGGAGTTGAGGATAACATCTAGGTTGTGAGCCTGGGAGATTTGTGTTATCTGTATTATTAGTAATCTTTATATTTACTTGCTTGTATAGATGTTATATACCCCTGAGGGCAAGGACTCAACTTCCCTTTACTTTATATTGGGATTTGTGAGAGAAAGTGATTTTTTTTTTCCCTTCCAGGTTACCATCTTCAAAGCAGGTTTCCCAATCCGTTGGGTGGTGATGTTGCAGTCTCGGCCTTGGTTTTGCAAGATGCAAGTTCCCAGTTTGTATGTGGGCAGGCCTTTCTCCACATCCCCAGATAAACCGTCAAGCATGGAGGCTGAAAAATTCCAGATGATTTATCGGTTTCCTGGCATCAGATTCTGTGGGTCACTGTCCCGGGTGAAGATTCTACAGACAGGGATTACTATGGTAATATTGCCACCTTGCTATTATTGGTACATGCAGGGCCTCATTCCCCTGGACTCCCTATTTTTCACGGGAGGTGTTGCTAGCTTTGCCCTAGCCATGTTGTACTGGATTAGTTATTTCTTTCGTCGGCTTGTTGGGATCCTTTATGTGAATGAGGCTGGCACTGTGTTGCGGGTGGCACACCTGACCTTCTGGGGCCGGCGGCAAGACACATATTGCCCAGTGGCCAACATAATTCCTGTATCTGAGACCAGTGAACATCCCTTTGATGTGTTCTTGAAGATCCGACAGTATGATGGTGATCAGACCTTCTACTTAACACTTCGTTTTGGACACATCCTGGATAAGAAACGCTTTGTGCAAGTGTTTGGGAATCTTGATGGAAAGCATTGATGGTTTGGCGAAAAAAACTCCTGGATCTTAGGGGAATGAGCTTTGGATGGTAGCCTCAAGTGTGCCTATGCTATACCTGTGCCAAGCATATCTCCCAGGGCTTAAACTATAGAGAGAGGTTAAGAGGCACTTGTCTTTCAAAGTCAGGCGATAAGTAAACTAGAAGCAGATCTAAGTTTCTGGTAAAACAAGTGCTGAACAGACTTTGAAAAGGGAATACCCAGTGGAACCATGAAACTGATTTTGTGGTGCAGTGGGAGTTGATTTTCCACTTGCATACTTTTTCTGGAGAAAGGCAGTTTGATTTTCTGGAGAGAAAATTGTCAGGACACAGTGGATCCTTGTCCTACAGTTGACTGATTAGAATGACCATGATGGCATGTGAATGACATTCAGTCTATCAAAAAGAAAGTATTACTCTGCTGATATGTAGTAAGTGCTTGAGGAACACGTGACTAGTGTAAAACATGGCTATTTCATCCCCTTCAGAAAGGCAACTTTGTGCACTCCTCAGAAACAGTATGGAAATCAGAGGTTAGCCTGACATCAGAATTGTGATTTTTTTTTTTACCTTTCAGATATTTAAATAATCATTCACTGTTAATATTACAGTCTAATAAAAAAAGTTTTGGGGTTGAGTCATTTGTTCATGTATTTCTGTTTTTTTACAGAACTTCAGCAGGGCAGCATGACTCATTGAGTGATGCAGCAGGTGTCTTGGTAGGAAGAGGGATAAACTGTCACAGGCTGCCAAGTGGTTTTAATGGAGGTCTTCAGCAGGTGCTATCTACCCCAGACTCATGTTTGGGGATGGGGGAGGGTTGTAGTAGCTTGATTCATGGTCAAAAGAATTAAAAAGAGTCCTTTGCAAGCACTACTTCAAGCAAACCATGAGATGTATCAGCCTGTAAAACCTGAGAGCAGCATTTCAAGTGGTCTTAAATTATTCCAGTTACTTGCATAACCATGACACATAAAGGGACTTTATCTCATTGGTGAATTTGCTCCATGTCAAAAAGATGGGAGGGGAGGCAAAAGAATAATAAAAGTCATTCAAGGATAGAGTAAGTATAGGGGGGAGAACTTGAAAAAAGATTATAATTTATAAGGACAAAGGAAAATTATTTGCCCTCCATTTTGTTTATTTTATATCGATAAATGTAAATGAAAGGTCATAACTTTACCTGTAAGTTTCAGCAGTTAGCTCTTAACATTCACTTGAGATGGTAGTAACTTTGGCTCATGGGATTTAGAACTATAAGGGATCTTAGGAATAATTTCAGTTAGAAGCACTTCTTTTCAGAACATATGCATTTATGCAGTGCTTCAAATATGAAGTTGATATTATTAACTATCAAAGCATGCCAAGTTACTTTTTAGTAGTGGGACATGGTATAATGACCTTGGAACCTCTGCCTCAGTTTCCTCATTTAAAAATGAAGTTGTATAAATGATGGCTTCTAAGATCCTTTCCAGCTCTACATGTATAATTCTAATAGAAAGATTTGACACTAAATCTTCACTAGACGAATGTACACTAGCAATCAGGAGACCTAGATTCTAATCTGGGCTCTGCCACTAAGGAATTGTGTGAACTAGAAGAGATCCCAAATTCTTTTGAGCTCTGACATTGAGGTTCGTGCAGTACCACCAGAGGGCGCAAAAAAAAGTCAAATTGTTGGTCGTCTTAAACTCAACCAGACTTTGCAACAAACAAAACAAAAAACCAACTGGAAGGAAATCTTAGCTTCAGCAACTCAGTTCTGGAAATTGGCCCAATTTATCATCAGCCAGACCTCTGAGATCTAGTGTAACCCCTACCTAAATCATAAATCCTATTTAAAATAGCCAACCAATCTGAAAAAAAGGATGTGATCAACAGCCTGAAATGGTTTGCTCTTTAAGCCACTAAGCCTGCTTTACACATGGACTAGAAAACAGCTAGGAAAAGCAAATTAACTCTGTGGTGTATCAGCAGTTGTCCTTTGTACAATGGGATGGATCCCTTTATAACTACTTTCAGAGGACAGGATTAATACTTGGGTTACAGGTGACCATATTACATCAATATATATAATTTTTAGAATGATTTGGTGCACCTCATTTTGTGTATGGACCTCTACTATCAATGGAGATGGCAGCTTAGAACATTATAGGATTAAAGTCAAGAAGAACTCAGTTTGAATCCTTCCCTAAACATTTACTAAATGCGTGACCCGGAGAAGTTACTTTAGGGCCTTAATTCCTCATCAGTAACATGAGGGAGTTGTATTAGATAGCTTCTATACTCCCTTAAAGCCGTAGATTTTTGATCTTGTGATACTGCCCCAGGTTTGGTCTTTTGCAGGCAAACCTATTTGATTGTGATAATTTATGAACCTAGTGTTTACATAGTACTGCAAGGTTAGCATAATTATTACATGTTGTCTTGTTTGATCCTCACAATAACCTTGTGTGATCGCCATTTTACAGATGAGGAAACTGAGGCTGAGTAACATTCAGTGACTTGCCCAAGGTTGCACAGTTGGTAATGTCTAAGGCTTGCTTTGAATTCCGGTCTTCCTGACTCCCAAGTTCGCAGCTCTGTACCATCTATACCATCTAGCTGCCCATGCCACATCATGTCATTTGGTCTCTTCACTGGTGCTGCTGGCTTCTGGACTTCCTCCTTTCTTGGTACACTACCCAAGGGCCTTCCCACCCAGGGGACACCATCCCAGTGTGCAGTTCCCCTTCTCAGTCCTCTCTGGATCTGTGACCCAGAACTGGGTAGTGAGCAGCAAAGTTTCCAGTTTGGACCTGTCCCTGTGCCCTGGTTTGGATGGGGATGGTGATGGAGTAGAGGAGGCCCAGTATGGTGTCCTGGTGCACAGCCTCTCCTAAGGCACTGAAGTGCTTGCCTGAGAAGGGGGAGCCTTGAGAAGCCAGACGCTATCTTGCAGGTTGTTCCAGTCATGTTGCTCCTTGAAGGCTGGGAGTGTTTAATTTTTGTGCTTAATCAATGCTGTTGATTGGAATCATTCCTATGTACTAGAATCTTCAGTGGCTCTCTATGTCTGAGTAAAATTCAAATTCCTTTTCCCAGCATTGAAGGCCCTCTAGAACATGTCAACATTCTATCTTTCCAGCCCTATCTCCTACTATTCCCCTCTTCCTCTCACCTTTATGCTCCAGCTAAACAGTACTGTTCACTACACTTTGCACGGCTGGGATAAGAGAAGACTCACCACTACCAGAGGTGGCCTCTTCCTTTTTGTCTTCCACCCTCCCCTCAGCCCTGGCTGTCATAGAACTTCTGAGATGGCATCCACCAACTCCTTTCTGGTGACATAGTGGGGCCACAGGTCTTAACATCTGCCCTAACATGGCTTACTAAGGTCCTCCAGGCCTTACCACATTCCTGGCTTTTATGTCTTGGCCTCAGCATTGTCGAATGATCTAATTTATGTAATCCAAACATGTGTCTGCTGGGCTCGGATAAATGCTGCCACACCCTTAGGACTTTCAGGCTTTTCCATCTGCCCTATAGCTAACTTTTCTTTTATGTATGTATTATCTTCCTCCAGCTACACTGTGAGCTTTTTGAGAGCTGGGACTGTCTCACTTTTCCCCATTTATATCCCCAGTATGTAACATAATGTTTGCTACATAGTAAGCACTCACTAATTCATTCATTCTTATATTGCTGCTCATGCTTGGAATGTCCTCTCTTTTTTTTTTAGCCTGTTGAATTCCTTCCCATCTTTTAAATCCTAATTCAAATACTGCTTCCTGTAAGAAACCCTCTCTAATCTTCTGAGTTGGTCTTACTTTTTGCTTTTCCCATAGCATTTTGCTTTGTACCTGTCCAAAGCACTCACAATGTATTATAGTTATTGAAGGTCAGGGACTATTTCCTCTTTGTCTTTTTAACACCTAGCAGTGTGACAGTGTATCGGGCCTGAAGTCAGGAATCAACGGACTTCAAATATGCCCTCAGGCACTCACTAACTGTGTGATCCTGAGCAAGTTAACTTAACCTGTGTTTGCCTCACTTTCCTCTTCTGTGAGATGGAGGTAAAAGCAGTACCTGCTCTCAAGGTTGTTGTGAGGATTGAATGAGATAATATTTATGAAGTGCCTTGCAGACTTAAAGCACTATTATTAAAAAAATACCATAGACTGCCTTCAAGGAGCAGGGCCAGGCTTTTCATGCATTGGCTTACCGCTATCATTTCAATAGACCTGGTAGACCTTTAACATCCATGGATTAGAACTCATTTGGCAGGCTAGTTATTGTTCATTGGTTTGCATTGTTAAAAAGTAACTAGGGTTAGGGGCTTTTAATTAGTATTTTATGGCATTTGGGCTTGTAGGTCTGTATCTTGAAAGTAATATGGCACCCTTTAACATGCCTCTCTGTCCACTCCCCAACATAAACACCAGAGTCCAATTTTTATGGCCTTGTTTTGATCCTGTTCCATTCAACTATAACATCCTGTGTTATTAAAGTTAATCAGGAGGTTTTACTACTTCTGGCTGTGTTTATACAGACCCTGTTTATAAAACAGTCATCTTTCTCATTAACAACTTGTTTACTCTGGGATTCATTTAGGGCTATAAATTGCTCAGATATGAGGATTCATATTTAAGAGTAAAAATTAACTTTAAAGAAATACTATGTATTTGTTTTAGAGGACAAGAAGACATATATCTAATTATCCAGGTTAATAGAGGGAGAAAAGAGAAAGAAAATACAAAAGAGGAGTGGGTTCAAATTCTGTTTCTGCTAATTATTACCTTTGTGACCTTGGACAAGTTGCTTAGCTTCTCTAGGTCTATTTCCTTAGATTTAAAAAGGAGTGGGTTGGTTTAGAGGTGTCAGTGAGTTGGCCCAAAACACTCCTGAGTTTGGCTCAAACCAGATTAAAATGTAATTGGGAAATATTTAACAAAATAAGTAACTATAAGAAAACATAGTTAATAACACTTTTTTTGTGGTGAGTCAATGGGGATTAAGCAACTTGTCCACAGAGCTAATGAGTGTCAAGTGTTTGAGGCCGGATTTGAACTCCTCCTGCTTATCTATTGTGCCACCTAACTGCCCCAATAACTTGTTTTTAAAACTAAGTCAATATGCAGCCCACAGGGATTCTTATGTTTGGATTAGTTGCTCCTGGTTCTATTTGAGTTTGACATCACTGGATAAGATGATTTCTGCCAGTCTAGTGTTCTTTATATCACAGCACTAAAGACTCAATGCAGATAGCCCTCATTAAGGCAGAATCTCAATTACTTTTTTTTAAAAAAATGTTTATTTGACATCTACTAAGTGCTTACTATTGTGCGTTGCTTCTTTCTCTCAGTGATTCCAGCCTCCCCTTGGCCACTGTTAAGATCTTCCTGATGATGCCAGTGCCTTCTCACCTAATACACTGACATTGACCACCATACCCATAGATTCTTAGAAGCCCAAGTGGTTGCTGCTGTGAAAGAGGTCACATTCATATTGGAGATATTCAATTATAAATATTTTATTTAAGAATATTGATTAACACAGGAAATGGGTTTAATTCATGGAATTGTGTACATGGTCAGCAGTTACATTGTGAAGTGTAGTTAGTTTCTTTGACATTTATTTGGCACTGT